TTTCCCTTTCTATAGCCCTTTAGAGCTCCCCTCTACTTGCTAGATGGGATGCTACTTGATTCATGGATTAGTTCATAAAACCAATTAGATCTTTAAAATTTACTTGGTTGAACTTTTGTTATTTGACACATCCATCACCATATAGTTACAAATTTTTTTTCTTGTGATGAGAACTTTTAAGATTTACTCTCTTAGGAATTCTCAAATATACAATATGATGTTAACTATAGTTGACATGCTGTACTTTACATCCCCAGGACTTAGTTATTTTATAACTGTAAGTTTGAGCGTTTGACCACATTTACTCATTTTGTCTCCCCACCCCATCCCAACAACCACTAGTCTTTTCTCTCTTTCTAAGAGTTTGTTTCTTGTTTAGATTCCACATATATGTGAGACCATATGGTATTTGCCTTTCTTGGCCTGACTTACTTCACTAGCATAATACCCTCTAGGTCCATCCATGTTGTTGCAAATGCCAGAATTTCTTCTTCAGGAAAATGTATTACATATATAGGAATATTACTTAGCCCTAAAAAAGAACAAAATCTATATTTTAACAAGTTCCTCAGGTGATTATTATGCATGCTAATTGGGTGCAATGTTGTCTGTATTCCTTTTACTATCACCACTATCAATCATTTTATATTTATTTTTTATCCTTTGGTCTTTGAGCACTTTCTCCAAGTATTCTATATCTTTGGGCTTCCCACACACACACCTTTAATGCTGTTTCTTTTGTCTTACTGTCTTTTACTTTTCTTTTCCAGTCTCTTTTTTTCCAAGGGCATGCAATGTTAGTTACCATTTTGTTTTCATGGTTTTCTCCTTTAAAGTCAAGTTGTAATTAACACAATAAAATCCATCCTCTTTAGGTGTACAGTTCCATGAATTTTGATAAAAACATAGTTGTGTAGCCACCGCCATATTCAAGACCTAGAATATTTCCATCACCCCAGAAAGTTCCCTTGTGTTCCTTTGTGGTTGGCTCCTACCCCCACCCCCTGACAATCACTAATCTGTTCTCTGTCTCTCTACTTTTGCTTTTTCCCAGAATTTTATATAAATGGGGTCAGTTTAAAAGTTTTTTTTCACTCTGGCATCTTTCACTGAGCATAAGTATTTGAGACCCATTCATACTGTTGGGTTCACTTCTTGATTGCATGGATGTCCCACAGCTTAGTTATCCATTCAAGTTGGTCTCTTGTTAAAAGCTTTATGGACATTGACAGGGCGCTTGAGTGGCTCAGCTAAGCATATGACTTCAGCTCAGGTCATGATCTCACAGTTCATGGGTTCAAGCCCCACATCGGCTCTGTGCTGACAGCTCAGGGCCTGGACCCTGCTTCAGATTCTGTGTCTCCCTCTCTCTGCCCTTCTTCCACTTGCACTCTGCCTCTCTCTCAAAAATAAACATTAAAAAAAACAAAAACAAAAAAGAATCGGACTTCGGCTCAGGTCATGATCTTGTGGTCTGTGAGTTGGAGCCCCGCGATGGGCTCTGTGCTGACAGCTCACAGCCTGGAGCCTGCTTTGGATTCTGTGTCTCCCTCTCTCTCTGTCCCTCCCGGCTTGCACTCTGTCTCTGTCTCTCAAATGAAAAAACAAACACAAAAAAACGTTAAAAAAAATTTTTTTAAAGTCTGTATGGACACTCAGATTCTGGGTTCAACTTGTGGGCTCTGGGGCCACAAAGACTGAGTTCATATTCCAGCTTGGCCACTCACTGTGCGACCTTGCCCTTCGCTTCCTCGACTATTTAGCGAGGATAACGCTCTCAACTCTAAGGCTTATTTTGACATTTTAAATGGGATAGTAAGAAAGTGCTTAGAACAGCTGCTGGCACATGGCAAGCAGTCAGCAAATGTTCATGTTTTATTCTCTACTAATTTTCTTGTTTTAAAATCTTTGAAAACTCTCGTTTCAGGCAGATTCCTATTGTGTGCTTTCATTTCTTCTAATATGGTAAAAAAAAAATAAACCTAATTATAAAAAAATAATGAGAACTGCTGATTATTGGGAATTTACTTGCTGCCAAGGTAATGTTAAGCACTTTACGTGCAACATCATGTTTAACACATCACTAAAGAAGTATTGCCTCTATTTTTATTGGACCACAAAGTACTATGAGGGCAGTCCATGCCCTGAGCAAGATGCTGTTTTCCCTTCTAGCAGAAGCAGGGAAATCTTGCTTTTCTTTTTTTTTTTTTTTTTAATTTTTTTTTCAACGTTTATTTTTATTTTTGGGACAGAGAGAGACAGAGCATGAACGGGGGAGGGGCAGAGAGAGAGGGAGACACAGAATCGGAAACAGGCTCCAGGCTCTGAGCCATCAGCCCAGAGCCCGACGCGGGGCTCGAACTCACGGACCGCGAGATCGTGACCTGGCTGAAGTCGGACGCTTAACCGACTGCGCCACCCAGGCGCCCCGAAATCCTGCTTTTCTAACAAAAGCCTAACAAAAACGGCACATCTGGGGAACCTACTAGGGGTAGGTATGTCTCTCCTTTGGAGTTAACACCCCCTTCCCACCATCTTTCAAGTCTCAGTATGAGTCCATCCGACTCATTATCAGGCACTATTATCAGAAGTATGGTAACGCTGCAACATATATAAAACCAGGTAGAGAAACTGAAACGTCCCACTTTATTAGTCTGTAACAGTGT